TTCGTTGACTCTTTGAAAAGCTTTTGACTTTTGTCAAATAAAAGTGGGGCGTTACAAATGCGTCCCAGTTGACGTCCGCGACTTGCCCGCCTATCATGCACCCTCGCACATCATCCTGCTCTGTCCAACCGCGGGCGTCAAGGGCCGATGCGCGCCATTCGCCCATTAGCCGATCGCCTTCCTTGTTGTCGTTAGTCCCCGTCTGTTCAGGCCATGGATCCCAACCTTTCATCCTCTCGCAATCTTCCGCCGGTATCCACCATCCATCTTCAACCCATCGCAGACCACGCCTTCTAGCCTCCTTCTTTTGTGCTCGCCTTTTTCTTCACACAAGGCATGCACCAACATTGACTTGATTTTCGAGCCTTTGCTTTACGTCGTCTCTTGGCCATCCGTTTCCCCGCCTTCGACTTCAGCTTCGGGCCACACCCTTTCGGCCAATCTTGTACACATGATGGCCGGTATATTGGACTTGTCGGCTCCTCCAACATGTTCTCCAGCCATATAACGAGACCATCGTCACCTTCCTCGTCGGACTCGTCTGGGTTGATGATCACTTCTGCATCATTCCCCTCCTCTTCAAGACTTTCCTTGTCCTCAAGGATTAGAAAATTTAGCGCACCATCATCTTCACGGTTTTGGACTTCACCCTCCATTGCTCCTCGGCCTTCTACGAGTTGTCGCTCGTATTCTTCTCGATTTCTTCGCTCATGGAGTTCGTCTAGATACGTGCTTTCCCATGGGGTAAGTTCTCTTTCCAAATTCTCCAATAACTCGAGATCTTCCCAATCCATCTCGTCCATTGGCACATAAAACATTTTTTTTTTACTCTATAAAAATTTTGAAAAAGAAAAAGAAGAAAATTCGAACAAATTCGAATCAAAGGGAGGAAAAAATAACAAAAGACTAGATGACACTTTTTTTTATACTCTCGAAATTTTCTCGAAAATTAGGGATAAAATTCGAAAAGATTCGAACAAAAGAAACAAAAAATTCAAACCAAAAAGAAAAAGAATGGGATAGAAAAAGTTCACGAACACACAATCAATCACTCTCAATGAAAGCACCAATGATGACGGATCGTGTGTTGCGTTCCCTTGACTTGTCTCGAACACAGCTTCGCCACGGCCTTGCTCTCGACGATAGGTGTGATCGACTCGGTTATTAGCCTAACTCTCTCACGATACTTGAGTTCACTCGGGTCTTAGCCTCGCTCCCTCTTTTGAACTAGCTCGGGTCTTAGCCTCACTAACTCGGTTGAACTGGCTTGGGTCTTAGCCTCATTAATTCGGTTGCATGATCGAACTCTCACGAATCCTAACACACGGTTTCGAACAAACGTTCTTTTCTATTTCATCAAATCCAAGATATTAAAAACAATGAGGGATGCTCCCTATTTATAGATCCTAACTATGACTAATTCTA